TGTTAATCTTTTTCAGCATGCTTGTTGGTGGTGTATAGAATAGCTATGTATTTTTGTAAGTCGATTTTGTATACTGCCATTTTGCTGAAACTGTTGATCATTTCCAGAAGTTTTTTGGGACCATGTATGTAATATCTTATCATCTGCAAATAGGGATATTTGACTTCTTCTTTTTCTATTTGTATTCATTCAATTTCTTTTTGTCTTATTATTTTAGCTAGTGCTTCAAGCACTATATTTAAAAGGAGTGGAGACTGGGGACAGCTCTGTCTCATTCCTGGTTTGAATGGGATTGCTTTGAGTTTCTTCTTCATTTCAGATAATGTGTTGGCGTGGTCTGTTGGCAGTGCTGGGGATTAGAGATAGAGCCTTTGTGTGCTAGGTGAGCACTCTGTCCCTATGCTACATCCCTGGGTCCTTCTTTATGATGGTATACTTTCAAGGTCATTATGTTTTATTATTCTATATTCTCTTATATAGTTGTCTTTAAAATAGTCTTATTATTTAAGTTATAATGTTATATTTATTGGGTTAATTAAGGGGTGTAATTTTTCCCCATCCATTTGCATTTGACTTTTCTTTATAATAGTTAAGAATATGACTCTCTTAGGCTTCACATTTCTTGGCCTTGGTTTTTAATTCATAAAACACTTGACATGAGCTTTATATATAACTGCTCTTGTTAGTCACTCTTATTTTTCATCACATTTACAACTTCCATATTTGTTATTTTTAAAGCTCCCTTCTTGGCTTCTACTAATAGGAAAGGTTTTCTTTTTCTGACTGCAAAGTCATGAATTGTATTTTTATTTTTCTGGTCACTTCTGCAAAAGTGGCTAACACTCAACCTCACATTCACTATTTTTCTCCACATCCTAAATTATGCATGTTTCTCCCGATTCATGAATGCCGGGAATCAGGAGATTCCCTGAAGAGGTGAAGCTGCTTTCAGAACTGCTCTGGTATAAGACAGGTAGTGAATCTTCAAGAGAAGTTTTCTTCCATTTTTCTTTTTATGCATCTGGAAATATTCCCATTATAAGTTTGACTATTTGTGAGCAAGCACTGAAACTGCCTGGGTTCTGATTTAATGGTGCATAGCTATTTTTGTTAGTCATTTCTAGGAACTAGTTCTATATTTTTCTCGTACTCAATGTCACTAATGAGAAACCTGTTTTCAGTTTGATTCTTACCTCTCTGTATAAAACATTTTATTTCTCTGGGTCAGTGGTATTCCTAAATTTCTTCATAATTCAATTTGCTGATGCTTGTTTTACATCTTATTTTGTAGTCAACAGACTTTCTCATCAAAGGCCTTCTTTCAAATTCCTTAGAACTTAGACATCTATTTCCACTGTTTCTTCAAAAGCAATTCTCAAGAGAGATTCCTTGGAACACACAGCTCTAAATGAGACATCTCCATCAAATCCCTCCCCTCAGAGCTCAGGAAACCCCATGGAAGAGGAAACAGAAAGAGTGTAAGAGCCAGAGGGGATGGAGGACACCAAGAGAACAAGGCTCTCTGAATCAACTGAGCAAGGCTCTTAGAAACTCAGAGACTGAAGCAGCAAGCACAAAGCCTACAAGATCTGTACAAGGTCCCCTATGTATATATTACAACTTTCAGCCTAGTATTTTTATGGGACTCCTGAGTGTGTGAACAGGTGGGTCTCAGATTTTTGTGCCTGCTCTTGGGGATTTTTCTTCTGTTTACCTTCTCTAGTCTTGATGTGATGGTTTTTGTTTTATCTTATTATATTTTATTTTGTCATGTTTAGTTGCTATCTCTTGGAAGCCTGTTCTTTTTTAATGAGATACAAGAGGGGGGAAATAATAAATATAGTTGGATGGGTACAGAATGAGATTAGATCTGGGGGTCTTGGGAGGGGTGATATGATTAAAATGCATTATATAATTATATAAATTCTTGAAGAAAAAAAGCTACAATATAACTGAAAAAATTCTCCTCACTTTTTGTATTTTTCTTCTCCTAGTACATATTTTTTAAATGCAGTCTCATTCTTTTATCCTCTGTATATTTACCTTTTATTATATATCTTCATTTTTTCTAACTTCTAAAAGATTTACCAAAACAATCTTTTGATTGTCTCTTTAACCTATCCCATTATCTATCTCATTATCATTTATATTCAATCATATTAGTTTTAGGACTAATATTTTACTTAAAATCATGTGTTCTTTTTATGTAATTTATTTCTTTCATTAAGTTCATTATTCTTTTTTTATTCAGTCAACAGTTACAATAGTTCAGATAACAACTGTAATAGTTTGTTTTTATGTAGGTATGATTTCTAGTGTTACTGAGTATCAGTGGTATTAGCTCTTCTTTCTGACAAATACATATATGGAGGAGGTACATGTCTTTGTAGCTTAGATATGATTAATAAAAGGAGAGAAGATGTGCTTTAAGATGGAAAGATATAACCAGGTACCAGAGAACCCCAGTTAATCATTGCTGTCTCATAACTCCTTCATCAAGAAGTTCTTCAGGACTGGAGAAATGGTTCAGTAGGTAAGAGTACAAGCATGAGGAACTGAGTTGGGAACCAAACACCCGTATAAAAAGCAGGTTATGGCTATCTGTACAGGTAACCCCATGCTGTGGGGATGGAGACATGTCTGGGTTCAGGGAAAGACACTGTCTTAAGGAATAAGGCAGAAAGTCATGGAGTACACCCAATACCAAAAGTCATAGAATACACTCTGGCTTCTGTAGATATGTACATGTGGACAACACACACACACACACACACACACACACACACACACACACACAACCTCTTCTGGTTTGGACCTCAACTACCATATACCTTTTCCAAAGAAAAACCTTATGGTTACTATAAATTGTAACTCACCAACTATAGAGTTTGAGAGAAGAAAGAGGGAGAACAAATGCCCATCTAGTCAATCTATAATTATTTAATGTAGATCTTGACCTGGAACTTAAACTGTCACTTGTTTCCAGGACATAGGTATTGGTTGTCCAAAAGCAAAGGTAAGTAGCTTATTTTTAATTTGCCATGCAACATATGTGATGAATTCTTCTCCTTCCCAGGCAGCAGCCACCACCAAGCCTTAGGAGACCAGTCTGAGATAGTCTTCAGCTTCACTGAAATTTTCTTAGGGGTTTGCCATTATTTCATAAACTCTATAATATTTGACATATGGTTCTTTTGAACTAATATTGAAGTAAAGATTCTGTAATGCACACAAACTTGCCATATTGACAAGAACCAGATTTGATATTAACTTTCCTCTGTTGTTTCCTACATTCTGATTTCTGGAACTTCGGTTTGGCCTATATAATAAAATGGCTGTTTTGTTGTCTTAAATTTTAGTGGATTTTTACTAAATACAGATTGGGAGATTATATAAAACTTTGAAGAGTATATAATAATAGATAACTGTAATGTGTTTTGACTATTCTCCCACAAATTTTACCTTGTTTTGTGTTGTTGTTGTGTTCTTCAGTTAGTACCAGTTGACTGGTTTGTTTTTGTTTTAGTTTTTTATTTGTTTGTTTTGGTTGAGTTGTTTGGTTTTTTTTTTTGAGACAGAACTTCTCTGTTTAGCACTGGCTGTCTTGGGACTCCCTCTGTAGATCAGCCTGGCCTCTAACTCACAGAGACCCACCTGCCTCTGTCTCCCAAGTGTGCCACCCTGCTGAGCCTGAATGATTTGTTTTTCAATAGGTCCCAACCTAATTGTATGCCATCTGCTAAAGTTTTATTAGAATGAATATGTTTCATTTCTAAAAGTTGTATTGGTTGTATTTTTACCCACCTACTTTTATTTTATTCTGAATTTTTGTTTCAAAATATTATTTATTCATTTCTACAAGCATCTTAAACTATCTTATTTTGATTGATACTTTCAAAAACTACTGTCTTCTCTTTCCTTCCTCTTCTCACTTCTGTTTTCATCCTAGGTTACCTGAGTATGGCCAAGAATTAGGTCTTATAGTAATAATTTTGGGCTTCTACCTAACAGGTACAGATGGTTTTGTTGAGCTTGTAAGCCTCAGACTGAAGTACAGTGTGGAGGCCATGTCTGTGTTTTCTAGTGTCTAAATGCAAAATGCTGATGAATAGCTTCAAGAATCTTTTAGCAGTAGTTTTTCAACTTCATAATGGTAGATGCACTCTAGATTCTGACCCTAAGCAGTGACTGTAATTTTTATTCTGTCTTTCACAGAGAACATTTGGTTTTAGACAACAACCTTGTTAATAGCAGCCAATGCCAAATTCTCACCCTAAAGCTCAGAAATCCAAGGGTTTCATCACTGTCCACCATCTTAAGTCTCTGTTACATTTTTAACAGTTATGTTTTCTAAGCATGTCACAGAAGCCTGGTACACAGAAACATATGTTTATCCCATCGTCTTGACCAGGGAGTGTTTCTTTTTTTTTTTTTTTTTCTTTTTTCTTTTTTTTTTTTTTTGATTTTTTCGAGGCAGGGTTTCGCTGTGTAGCTTTGCGCCTTTCCTGGAACTCACTTGGTAGTCCAGGCTGGCCTCGAACTCACAGAGATCCGCCTGGCTCTGCCTCCCGAGTGCTGGGATTAAAGGCGTGCGCCACCACCGCCCGGCTCAGGGAGTGTTTCTTATGTCACTTCTTAACATTAATTCAGTGTTATATCAACATAACAAATATCCACATAGTGTTTTTAGAAATCAATACACCTTGGGAGATTATATAAAACTTTGATTGAAGAGTATGCAAATTAGTCACATGCTTTGAAGATACTCAACTCTACAGAAAATATTTATATGGAAAGTTATATGTGGGTAGGTTCTGTGTATAGCAATAAAACAAATTTCATCTATGCAGAAGAGAATAAAAAGTACACACACGAGGAAGTTATTTATTTATTTATTTATTTATTTATTTATTTATTTATTTATAGAAGTGTTGCATAAAACCAGATAGACCAATTCCATTTCTTATATATGTGTGTATATATTTCATTTCAGCATATAAATCTATTTTAAATTGCATCTCTATTATATAGCTTATAAATATATAAATATGTATGCATAATAAATTTTAATGTTTTATACTTAATATCTATTTTTATACCTATAATTAAAACTTTAAGTAATTTCAATGTATTTTCCTTTATACTTAAAATGTTCCTCACAAATAAGCCTTTACAATATAAAAGAAATTCATGCTTGATTAAAACAACCTAATATATAGGATTAAAATACTAATTTTAGTCAAAATGTGTTCTATGTGGATAATTCCATTGTTGAATACTAACCTAAACCCATTTGCTAAACAACAAAATAGATAATGATGTCATTGAGTTATAACTTATTTAAGTAAGTATCCAAAGCAAGTTAAGTATGTAGAAGTAACAAATATTTCTTAACAAGAAGTAAAAGAATTGGAAAAATAGAAAGTAATGGCTACTGGACTACCATGATATTGTCTCTGTAAGTATCCAGTGTGGGATACTAAAGTTAGTGGAAGCTGAAGCATGGTATGTATAATTTCAAAGTATCTTCCTCTAAGTGATAATTACAAATGGATAAATAATAGCTTTCAATGGAGAAGCTTGGCTAACACAATAAAGATTAGCATCACTTTGACACAACTGAACTTTGCACACTTCGTAAAGACAAATGTAGGAAATTTTGTGTTTTATGTATTTTACAATAAAAATACTATAGCTAGCTAGGCAGTGGTGGTGCACACCTTTAATCCTAGCATTCGGGAGACAGAGCCAGGCAGATCTCTGTGAGTTCCAGGACAGGCTCCAAAACTACACAGAGAAACCCTGTCTCAAAAAAACAAAACAGCCGGGCGGTGGTGGCGCACGCCTTTAATCCCAGCACTCGGGAGGCAGAGCCAGGCGGATCTCTGTGAGTTCGAGGCCAGCCTGGACTACCAAGTGAGTTCCAGGAAAGGCGCAAAGCTACACAGAGAAACCCTGTCTCGAAAAACCAAAAAAAAAAAAAAAAAAAAAACTATAGCCAATGTTATGACATCTATATTGTGTGCTTGCTGATACTCTGATGCACTGGAGAGTGCCAAGAACATTTCTGTGATATTCTTCCCAGTTGGTTCATAACCTCAATCTAATCATGAAAAATAGAAATAATCTCAAATTCAGAGACATCTTCCCAATAACTGGAACCCTTCAAAAATATTAAAGCCATAGAAGACTGGGCAGGGCTTGGAAACCACACATATCTTATAGATGGAGAACACATAACAACTAAATGCAGTATGGGATCCTGTGTTAGATGTTTCTCTGTGACTTAAAACTTCCATTATAATTGTAGATTTACAGATGCCAAATTAAAGAGGCAACAGAGGCAGTTTGCCTAAGCCAGCTAGATAGTACTAATTTCTAAAGTATGTATCATGGCCTTTTTGTACATGACACTCTTCAAAGTTTTTGAGTTGTATTTCTGTATATTATTTCTGCATATGCATGTGTGTGTTTCTGATACTATTTGATATTTTGGTAAGAGGAATTGTCCTAATGATTTACATTCTTTATCTTACTTTCTGATGGAGACTTGGACTTAATCTCAACTGATATATAAAGTTCTGTCCAAATATAGATAGCTCACAGCCTATCTGAGTTGATAAAGAAATGTCCTTAGTTTTTAGTTTACCAGGTACAATTGTTATTCTTATGGGAACTTGAAACCAAATTTTAAAAAAAAGTAAATTGCTATTTAATCCAGCAGGTCTTAAACCATCTGTCAGTCACAGCATTTTCACTGGCTTAAAGCAAAAATAAGGAAATCAGTATCTACAAACCCCTGTTTAAAGCTGCACTATTTATAATAACCAAGCTATAGCATTACACTAAGTGCCTATCTATAAATAGATGAAGAAAAATTCACCACCATGGAGACCTTGCCTTGGAGGAGGTGGGAAAAGGGGGTGAGTTGTGGGGGAAGGCTGGGGGTGGGAGGAGGGAGGAGAGGAGGATCTGTGGTTTATATGTAAAATGAATAGAAAATTTCTTAATAATAAAAAAGAAAAGAAAAATTGGCATAAATCTACAATGAGGCTTTATTCAGCCATCAAGAAGAATAAAATTATGTTCATTAGTAGGAAAGTGGATGGAACTGGTGATCACCACAATAAATAAGAAAGTTAAGTCTCACAAAGGTGACTTATCACATGTTCTCTCTTATATGTGGAATTTGGGGGGAAAGTTGTGAAAATAAAGGGGAATGTAGAAGGGAAAAGAAGCAAAGGAGGAAAACAGTTGTAACAGAGAGTGATGAAGATGACCCAAGTACATTGTGTGCATGTAGAGAAATAGCAAAGCCCTATTACTCTGTACAATTAATAGACACTACTTTTTAAAGGGGGAATTGTCTGAGGTGGACCAGTCACTGGATTCCACAGGCAATCCCAGTCTTCTTATGGTCCAAATTAACAGTTCTTTTACTTTGTGATGGCGTGTAAAGCAATATCAAAAGAAAATTATTTGCAAATTTTCCATTAAAGCATATTTTAACTTGAAAAGTAGTTTCTTTCACAAAATTGTTTCACTGTTTTATATTAAAATATGATTTACCTTATGAAATAATCATGATATAAAGTGATAGATTTTATTTCATTTAATGAGGATAAAAGTTGACAAATCTAAGTCTCTTCTCTATTGTGTCTACTCATGTATGTATATAAGTGTGAACATTGTGAAATATACTGAATGATCTTCTGATTTGTCCAAGATACTCACTTCATATGAACAGTATTATAACTCAACTCATGGACAATACTTAGAATTAATAAAAGAATTCATTATTTGTATTTACTTCATTTATTCTCAAAATATCAAATAATATATTGAAGGTATTCATAGGTTTTAACAGTGCTACCCTAAGAATTTAAAAAGTACCATTAAGGTTTAATATATTCCTGGCCACCAAATAGCCAGATGGTATCACCAGGTATCAGTCATAAATCTAAGAATGAAGACTATATCAGTGAAGAGGATATGGTATATTTAAGAAATATTCCTCTACTCTCAGAATTCCAGATACAAATATTGTGCCTCAGCCGGGCATGGTGGCACACAATTTTAATCCCAGGGAGGCTGAGGCAAGTCTGAGTTCAAGGTCAGCCTGGTCTACAGAGTGAATTCCAGGACAGCCTGGACTACACAGAGAAACCCTGTCTCAGAAAACAAACCAAAACAAATATTGTGCTTCTTGTATAAAAGGAACTAGGACATGATTCACTGAGTCTAAATTGACACACACACACATTTCTTAAAAGGAAAGGTTAAAAATGAAGCTACAACCTCATTAAAGCAAACTGACTTTCAAGACATAGTTAGTAGTACCATTAGAGTCCACAAACTACAATAACGTTTCAGAGTCAGTTTTTCTTTGACCTTAGAATGAGAGCACCTAGAAAAGCTTATGAGGGTTTAAAGCATATATTTTAAAAGTAGCCTAACATATTTCCCTACTCCACCTCATTTTATGCATGATTTAATAGAAATAGACCCTTTTAAACACTTATTATGCTATAGTGATAGCTCAGAGTGCTCAGAGAGAAAAGAGGCCTGCCATCTAATCAGGTACTGCCTGAAAGTGCTTCTCTTAAGTCCATTTAACTGGTATTAATGAACTTCCTTTTGTCCCTTTTTTTTGTTTGTTTTTCAAGACATGGTTTCTCTGGGTACATCTGGCTATCCTGGAACTCACTCTGGCTATCCTTGAACTCAGAGATCCACCTGCCTCTACCTCCAGAGTGCTGGGATTAAAGGCATGCACCACCGCGGCCCAGGCTCCGGTGCTTTTTTTTTTTTAATAATTTCTCTGTAAACTACAAAATAGTTTAAAATATAAAACTTCTATACCATTTAAAATAAAGTGATTTAAAGTAAAATATTCTATAGCCAATTAACTACAGCAAAAAGTATCATGTTTATATCCTAACCCACCCTTAGTTCCCTATATTCAAATAACTACTCTCTGATAAGGCAAGGATATCTATACATGAAAGTGAGTTGAAACCTGCCTAAGACCCCAAATAACCCTTAAGAAGATATAACTAATAGTTCTGGAGAATATTTCTTGACTGAACTCTAGCTTATAACTGCTCCTACATTTACAAATAAATAAAATCCTTTTTTAAAATCTTCATCTTTTCTGTCACTGTGAGTAAGGATCATCATTTACTGGGCATTTTTATGATTATAAATGATGGGTGCAAGTTGATTCAGAGATTATCTCTATTTGTCAGGTACAAAAAATAGAAATTTCTGAATAATAAACTATGTCTCTGCCAAAAATTTTTGGAGACAGGGTCTTACTGTATAATTCTGACTGGCCCTGAACTCACAGAGATCCACTTGACTCTACCTCCTGAGTGCTGGGATTAGAGGAGTGTACCACCACTCTCAGGCAAACTCAATTCTTAATCAGAGCTGAGAACTAGTTCTCTTCCCTATGCATAAATAACTTTCTACTGGAAGGTGATTTAAAAGTAAAATAACCAACTCTTCCTATGGAACTAAGTATTCCTCAGGCCAGGGTCAGTGAACTTTCATGGGTAACATCAAAAATGGTTCATTCGTTTCTTGCCTAGCACACAAGAGAGGGGAAGGCAGAATTTATACACAAAGTAACATTTCTTTAACAGAATTCCAAATGCATAAATAATCTAGGAATCAGGAAACTTGCTTTTTACTAAGCTAAGCCTAAGTCTGAGTTTCCTATTTTCACCAAACTAGGCACTCCTGTTTCCGCCAGAGATGCAGTCTACTCCCATCCTTGTTTCATTGAGGATGGTAGCTCTTTGACGATGGACTATAACACCATGTTTCTGTTCTCTCCTGCGGGCTGTCAGTCAGAATTACATATAGTCATCACCTATCCGGGCCCGGCCCTCTGAACCCCGAGGCCGATTTCTTTTAGAATCTGGAGGCAAACTAGAATCACCCTCTGTTTTCGCCTCTCCAGGGGAATGGGGAAAGGGGAAATTGGGCATAAATCGCTTAAGAAAACGGAACTCGCTATTGCCCGTCCCAGTGGCTGAGCACATGTCATACGGGCAAGGCTGGGATAAGGAACCATTGCCTCTTCCTTGCACCAAATTGTTAGGGAAATTACAGTCATCGTAGAAGTGCTCCTGAATCGTGAATTTGTCTTTGTGTTTAATCTTCTGGTAGAGGTGTATAACAAAGATCACAGTGACAGAGAAGAGAAAAAGAAAAGAAAGCACGGCCAGAGAAATGACCAAATATTTTGTGGTTGGATTTACCTTTCTAGAATGCTTGGATGGATCCTGGAACTGCAAGTAAGGCTCTGAAAAGCCATCTACCAGCAGGATGTTGAGTGAGGCAGTAGTGGAGAGGGCTGGTTGGCCATGATCCTGAACAAGAATGATCAGTTTCTGCATCATAGGGTCTCTCTCAGTTATCTGCCTCAGTGTACGTATTTCCCCGTTTTGTCTCTGAACAGAAAATAACCCAAGGTCAGTGGCTTTAAGGAGATGGTATGAAAGCCAAGAATTCTGCCCCGAGTCACCATCAACAGCCACCACTTTGGTCACCAGGTAACCTGCCTCTGCAGACCTGGGCACCAGGTCGTTGCAGGGCAAGCTGCCATTCTGCAGTGGGTACAAGATCATCGGACGATTGTCATTGTCGTCGAGGACAACCACTCTGACAGTAGCTTGGCTACTCAGTGACAGAAAACCCCCATCTGTTGCCTTTACCACAAATTGAAAATCTTGGATGGCCTCATAATCCATGGTTCTTAGTGCATAGAGCTTTCCGTTGTCTGAATTTATAGAGATGTAAGCAAAGACTGACAGATCTCCACTCTTTGGAGGCAGCAGGGAGTATGTTACCTGGGCGTTTTCACCCACGTCTAGGTCCTCAGCGTGGACTTTGCCAATAAAAATGGCAGGGCTGTTGTTTTCACGGACAGTCAAGATGTAGGAGTCTTCCTGAAAGACTGGAGGATTGTCATTTATGTCCGATATTAGCACTTCAATCACAGTCTCTGTGGACAGGTTGGGTGGTCCAGTATCCATAGCAACGAGGGTGATGTTATAGCTGGAGACATCCTCCCTATCCAAGCTTCTGTCAGTGACCAGCGAGTAAGAATTCCGGAATGTGTGTTTGACTACAAAGGGCAAGTCTTCTCTGAGGAAGCAGGTGATTTTTCCTCCAACTCTCACATCCCGATCTCGGATAGTGAAGAGGGCCACTACAGTCTGGAGCGGAGAGTCCTCAGGAAGAGGGCTAGACACTGAGGAGACTGTCACTTCCGGAGGATTGTCATTTACATCCACCACTTCCACCAAGACTTTGCTGTGGGCAGAAAGGCCCCCTCCATCCGTAGCTTGAATGTCAATGTCATATGTTTCTATGGTTTCAAAATCTAGGGGCCCTCGGAGTCGTACCTCTCCAGTTTGCGAGTCGACAAGAAATGTCTGGAGAACTGCTTCCGGATTTTCAGCTAAAGAGTAAGTTATGTGCTTGTTGGTGCCCTCGTCCAGGTCCGTGGCAGTCACCACCACCACTAAAGAGCCGTTGTCGCTGTTCTCTGGCACCTGAGCGCGGTACACCAGACGAGAGAACTGGGGCACGTGGTCATTGACGTCCAGGACAACCACTCGAATGTTGGCAGTGCCAGACTTGGGAGGAGACCCGCCATCCACCGCTGTAATGGTCAAGTTGACTTCAGGCTGCTCCTCTCTATCCAGGGGATTATCCAGCACAAGTTCCGCATATTTGGGCCCATGGCTTCGGAAGCGTGTGTGCAGGTGGAAATAGGCGTTTGCACTCAGGGTGTAGTTTTGGAGACCATTGAGTCCCACGTCCAGATCCTGGGCGCTCTGCAGTGGAAAGCGTGAGCCCAAAGGGGTGCTCTCGGGAATCTTTAAAAGAGGTTCCTTGTTTAGAAAAACTGGGGCATTGTCATTGATATCAAATACTCTGACTTCCACACGGAAGGACTGCAGAGGCTCTGCCAGAACAATTTCAAAGTGCAGCACGCATGGGTCAGCTTTGCCACAGAGTGCCTCGCGATCCAATTTCTCCTTGACGAACAAATCTCCGGTCTTGCGGTGGAGCCGGAAATGCAACTTGTTGCCCTCGGCAACCAGCCGCGCCCCGCGCTCTGCCAGCTTCCCCACCTCCAGCCCTAGGTCCTTAGCCACGTTAGCCACAAATGAGCCGCTCTCCATCTCCTCCGCCACCGAATAGCGGATGGTGGCTGTGCCTCCCACAGACACACACCAGAGAAGGAGAAGAGATCCCACCTGCCTGTTCTGCCAAGGTTTTCTGCGCGCAGCTGCCATCATTCCTCACAAGTGCACTCCCGGAAGCTGCCGCCAGCTCTGGGGTACTCTGGCTTTCACTTTTGCCAACAGGTTGCACAAAACACCAGCTTTGCTATTACTAGCCTCTAACCGCAGCGCCACCAAAGGCTGGCTCCTGCAGCCAGGTAAGCTGTTTTGCACTTGAAAGACAATCTGCATTGAGTAACTTAATTCCCCAGGCCATTAAACGTATTAATAGGTATGTGCTCATTCCGGAGAGTCAAGCAGAGGTTGGAAGTTTGTTGCTACAGCAACCGTAGGCTCCCTGTTAATTCTCTTTCAGGAAAAAAAGTCCTTGGGAATTGAGGAGCCAAGGAGGATACGCGCTCACGCTGAGATCACTATCTATCGGCTGGGGCGAGTGCAGCAATGAACAAACAGCACGAATTAAAGCTACATTTCCACAGTCCTCAGAGACCAAGAAAAAGGAGAACGGATCCTGCGCTGTCCTCTGAAGCCCAAACGAGACACGTGGGGTGATGAGGTGGAAAGGACAGGGCTGTGGATATGGAAGGATAGAAGGAGAGGAAACAGAAAAGAAAAGCGAGCAGGCAGGTATTCTTCAGGAACCTGGGGTCCAGTAGGAACACACCTCTTGGTTTGCAGAAATCCATTGTTTAGCCCAGAGGAAGCGCCTGACTGCTTGTCTCTTAGGATTATTGGTCAGGCAGTAATACTGATCAGGCATGGTTTCTATGAACTAGCATTGTGATTTACATGCAATAGTCAATGTAATCTTGCAGCAACCCTATAAGAAAGGCAATATTTTTGTCTTTAAAGATGAGGAAACTGACAGGAGAGATTTTGTAAATAGAAATATTTATACACTAAATGTGTAGTTTTTGGGTCAGTCAAAACTATATTTATAAAACTACACATTTAGTGAATATATTGCTCTGTTTCCTGGGTAACATAGTGGATAAATCAAGCAAACAGAAATATAGGACTTTAGATTCCAAAATAGGAAAATGAGATCTGATCCTCCTCTCCCTGAATTTTTTTTTAAACAGAAGAATAAACTAAGGTCCTGGGCCCTGGGGTTGTAGTTCAATGGTACAGCCCTGCCTAACATGCCCAAGGCCTGGGGCTCATCCCCAGTGCTATAAACAAACAAACAATCAGAAAGACCAAAGGTCCCAAATGATGGAACATTAAATTAAAATGGTCTCTTACTGATTATCAGAAGTATTCCATTTCCCATTTGTACTTAGCATTTGAAAACCTAGATGCTGTACAACCGACTGCTGTCATTTAAGAGAAGTCTAAACCTATTTCTCCGTGGAGGCAAAGTGAATGAAAGAAGAAAGTACACAAAATTTTAAGCTGAGCATGGTGGAGCATGACTGTAATTCTGGCGTTTAGGAGGCAGAGGCAAGAGGACCAGACTACAAAACCAGCACTGGCTGCTTGCTGTACATAGTGATTTCAAGGTCATCCCAGGGTACATTAAAGCCTGTCTCAAAAAATAAAAAAATATACAAAATGTTAATATTCTGACATCATTAACAGTCTCTATCTTTGATCTCTATCAGGTATCTTAACACCTGGTGCAAATGTACACCCCTAAATTCTTTTTCTTTCTCCTCTCCTTAAAACTCTATATAAACTATGTGCTAGAGGATCCTTTGACACTAGTTTCTTGACTATTTATCTGAATATGAAATTGATGGTGTTCATTCATTTCCATTATCACCAGAAATCCTGCTATTTCTAAATTAAGTTGCATTTACTGATATTACAACGAAAACTACACATCTCAGGAAACATGGGAACATCACTAAGAAGCTACTACAAAGGATTTGTGATTTGTGACTTAGTGTTGGGTGATTTAGGAGAGATTTGAAGTAGGACTTTGATCTGGATTGGCTGCTGTCTTAAGTGAAGTTAATTACATGTTGAGTAAATTAGTAATCATATGTAGAGTATAAGAAATGAGTAAGGAAACAATGCCATTGGCAAGTAAGCCACAGTTACCAATATTTGCAGTCTAGAGAGGCATTTTATGGATGGATTGACTAGTATTCTTTTTTTGTCTGTGTGTGGACTGATGATATTGTGCTCTTTCCCCCTGATCCATCACCATTACCAAGTAGCCTTGTCTAAGTGTTCTATGAAATTGTTTTTTGTTCAACAGGAAAATGTTATGACTTATATATATTAACCCAGTTCCTAGATATCAAGGACTGGTTTTATCTTTTTCAGTATGATTGTACCCAAGTTCAATTGCTCATTTTATTATTATAAATTTAATTAAAAATTATTACATAAATATTCATGTCACTTTGTATGCATGTACACAGATCTAGTGGACAGAGTGTCTACCTAGAAGTGACACTGATGTCATAATGCGTGTTCATTTTCAGTTTTACATTGTAATGACAAACTGCTAAGAAGCTGTAATAATTTGTAAAGTCATCAGCAGGGTAGCCACTAATTGTTCAAATTATATCCAATGTCTAGTGTCTTTGTCTATTGCTAATATCACAATATTATAGGGTAATGTATTTTTAAAATAGCTTTATTTTGTCCCGTGATTCAAGTCCAAGATTAAGGAGCCATTTTAGAGATGGTCTTCCTGCTACCCTTGGCAGGGTGTGTAAAAGAGACCTAAACTTTATAGTAGACCCACTTTTGAGATAAAAGAACTTCCTAAAAGTCCCAGCTTGCTCCCACCTTATAAAACCTCATAATGGGGATTAAATATCAGCTTGAGTTCTGAGAGAACAAACTGCACTTAAGCTCTAGTACTTTGTATTCCTAGTCTAAAATTTTTTCATGCTGGTTAAATGTATGTGTTCCTATCTCACTGCTTAAGTTTTGTTTCTCTGGTTATTAACCTCATTTTTTGCAGTACTGGGATTTTGCATATGACAAAAAAAGCATTCTACCATGGAGCCACATAATTAGTCCCTGACTGTTAACTATTTAATGTATTTTCAGACATCTGGGTATCTTTGGGCAAGATACCCTTTTCCTGTTGGCATGTAGCAGTTTTACATATTGTGCTGTAGAAAAATCTTTTTGTACAATATGAACATGTATTACTCTCATTGGTTAATAAAGAGCTGATTGGCTGGTAGCTAGGCAGGATTATGGGGCAGAGAACATGCTGGGAAGAAAAAGGATGGAGTCAGAGGAGACATCAGCAGATGTTGGGAGGAAACAGGAAGTTCCAGATGAAAGAGAGGTAATGCCACATGGCAGAATGTAGATGAATAGAAATGGGTTAAGTTGTAAGAGCTAGTTAGTAATAAGCCTGAGCTATAGGCCAAGTATTTATAACTAATATATAGTCACCATGTAGATTATTTGGAAACTGGCAGGCAGGAAAGAAAAGTCTGCCTGTAATATTGTGAATTTAAATCCTGGATAATCAAAAGAGACACATTTATACCTAGTCAATATATGTCTTCAGAGAAAACATATATATCAATCCATTTGTACAGAGCAAATAAAAAGCATGCAATTTGGCATTCTCAATAAAGAAGTTTTTACCATATTTTTCTAAATATTATTGACTACAAATCTTTAAAGATCAACAAACCTAGGCAGAATAAATATAGTCTAACCATTGTCCTATTTTTGCTTTCTATTAGTGAGATAAAACATTTTGATCAAAAACAACTTGGGAAGGAAAGACTTTATTTGGCTTATGCTTTCACATCACAGTCCATCATTTGGGGAAGTTAGGACAGGAACTCAAGGCAGGAGCCTGAAGGCAGGAACTGAAGCACAGATCATGGAGGAGTGCTACTTATTGGCTTGCTCTTCATGGATTTTTCAGATTGTTTTCTTATACAACCTAAGTGCACCTGCCCAGGTATGGCACAGTCCACAGTGGGCTGGGCCTTCACACATCAATCAATAATCAAGAAAATGCTTCCATGGACTTGCCTACAGGCCAATCTGGGATTAAAGGCGTGAGCCACCACCGACCAGCATCCTACAGGCCAATCTGGTGGAGATAATTTCTCAGTTGAGGTTCCTTCTTCCCAGATGACCCTAGCTTGTGTCAAGGTGACAAAAACTAACCAGCATAGCCATATTAAACCAATCACTGTATTGTTTAGAAACAGCTATGTATATGACAAATACAATAAATACCAAAGGCAATATTAACCAAACTTCAGGGTAGTGATCTGAGGATCTTAGCTTCAAATGTATCACTGAATTTTTTTTGATGTGACCTAAAAGGGTAAATAAATATTTGTTACTACTTAAATTACACATACTCAACATTTTTTACATGTATGGTAGATATCACAATAAACATAAAAGCAATGAAATTTATTCATTTTGCTTCTGTTGCTTATAACAATACAAGCTGTTCCTTTTTTTTAAACTGCAAACCTCTTGAATCTACCTCCTGAGTGCTGTGGTTGTATGTGTGGACCATCATGCCTGGCTAACACAAGCTATCTGTTGCTATTATTGTTTTGAAACAGGGTCTCACTCTGCAGCCCAGGCTGGCCTCAAACTCATGGCAATCTTTCTACCTCTCTTGACTACTGGGATTACAGTCATGAGTCACTATACTGTTTTCATTCCTTTCTCTTTTCCAAAAAGTTTATTGTGTGTATTCATTGTACAAAGCACTGGGTTTCATGATAACATTTTTGAAAGTGTATTATACGCTTTGACCACATTTGCTTCACATTGTTCTCTCTTGGCCCCCTCTCCTTTTTGGCTAGCCCCCTTCTTCTTAAATACTCCCCTCTCTATTATCACATGTGTGTGTATTTAACCTAGGTTCTATGTGAGAAAAAGGATTTATTTGTCTAGGCCTAGTTTATTTCAGTTGACATAATGATCTCCAGTTCCATCCACTTTCTTGCAACTAACATAATCCCATTATTCTTTATGGATGAATGAAACTCCATTACATTTATATCTCATGTTACCTTGGTCCATTTCTCTGTTGATTGACATCTATGCTGACTTTATAACTTAAATATTTTTAACAGTGTTGCAATAAGCAAGGGTGACCAAGTGTTTCTGTAGCATGTTGACTTAGATTTCTTTACGCATATTCCCAAGAGTGGTACAGCTGTATCATACAGATTTTTTTGAGGAAATGCCACACTGATTTCCACAGACCCTTAGCACAATTAATGCCAGGTTAAAGCCACCATTCTGACCTTAAAACTCAGCACATAAGCCCCTAAACCTGCCAAAA